AGGAGTGATGTACCTACAGCAGGCACCTGAAGTGTCTTTAACTTTGCTAGACATGAAAACACAACATATTAGTCATTCTATAAAATGCAATCCATGAATCTTTATTATTATGTCTTGTTTATTTGAAAGGCATGTAGCTAATGTATAATGTAATAAGTGCAGTATGGTAAGGACAAAGCAACAGCAACTTATGGAGTGCTGCCTGCTGCAAATGTTCCTCCACCTTATGCTCTTGCCTCAATATCAGCTTTGCAGTTTGACCATTGTGGACACAGATTTGCTACTGCTGCATTAGATGGAACAGTTTGCGCATGGCAGCTGGAGGTGGGAGGCAGGAGCAATATCCGTCCAACAGAATCATCTCTCTGTTTTAATAACCATGCATCGTATGTATTCTGTTTTTAAATGCTTAAAGAGGCATTGACAGTCCTTTCTTGACTTTAACATTCCAGAACTGAAACCTACATTTGTGAGATATGATTAAGTTATTCACTGTCTGCTGCCCTGTGTGGTTTTGCTCGGTCCTCAGTTCATATTTTCTAAACTTGCTTTTTTGTTACCCTGAGAGCACCGCTTTCTGTCTATTGTTGAAGATAACTTTGTAGACTCAGATTGGAAATTTTTTTGTTATTAAGATATTATAATGTGTTTGTTATTCTGTGGGCCTCTGATTAGCTATTCTTTGTTGCAGGGATGTCACTTACGTTACTTCAAGTGGATCAATCATTGCTGCTGCTGGATGTAGCTCCAATGGTGTTAATGTGGTTATATGGGATACATTGGCACCGCCTGCAACCTCTCGGGCATCCATTATTTGTCATGAAGGTTAGTTCCCCCCTTTCTTCCCGTCCCACTCCCCTTCCTTTCTCCCAACTTTCATACGAAGGTTAGTTCCATCAAATTCCTTACATAGGAAGTGTCACATTGTACGAAGGTTAGTTGCGTACATTTCACATCCATAAGCAGAGTAGCTAGAGTTCTGGTTTGACGTTAAATCAGAATTTGACAACTTAGCATGGTAACTTATAGTGGAAATGTGTTGCATTCTTACAGCATCAAGTGAACAGTTCACTGTGTTCTTTTTGTAGAATGTTGAGTTTACTATTATGCATTAAATGTGATTATATTTGATTGTTCAGTCATGATTGGTATACTACCTTATGATTTCTGCATTTACTTGATAATTTCAATCTACTGTGGTTACAGTCTTTTGCTTCACTGTGTAGGTGGTGCCCGCTCCATTGCCGTATTTGACAATGACATAGGAAGTGGTTCTATTTCTCCCCTAATAGTTACTGGTGGTAAAAATGGTGATGTTGGACTTCATGACTTTCGGTACATAGCTACTGGAAGGACTAAAAGGCACAGGCACCATGATAGTGTTGAAACAAGCATCAACAGATCTTCCAGTGCTGACATGAGGACAGGAGCTAGTAATCAATTACAGGACCAGAATCACAGTGGGATGCTTTGGTACATACCAAAGGCTCACTTAGGTACATGCTTTTCCTTCTGTCACCTCGGTTGGTGCCACTTGTCTATGATATAATTTTGATCTAATCTTTATTTTATCAAACTGTCTGAGTGAAGGTAGTATCACCAAAATATCAACCATCCCAAATACCAGTTTGTTCTTAACGGGAAGCAAAGATGGAGATGTTAAACTTTGGGATGCCAAAGCAGCCAAGTTGGTTTATCATTGGTCAAAATTGCATGAAAGGCACACCTTTTTGCAACCAAGCTCTCGTGGTTTCGGGGGTGTTGTGCGGGTAACTATAGTGATTATATCCATGTTTGAGACATTCACATTGAATTTCTTCATGTTCCTCAGTCTGAAAATTTTGTATTTATTGATGTTAAAAGACTTTTGTTGTATGCACTATTTGAATTTGCACTAATGCAATATTTTGTTTAAACGTCACAGGCTGCTGTTACTGATATTCAAGTTGTGTCACATGGTTTTCTTTCATGTGGTGGAGATGGCTCTGTAAAGCTGGTTCAGCTCAATGATTACCGACATGGGACATGAAGATGAAACTTATCCGAGCCCAAAGGGAGCTGACTTTTCAGAACAGTTAAAAACTGTTTGTATTCCAAGAAATTTGTCAGCAATGCAAGCGCAAAACTGTTTGTGTTCTTTCAGAACAGTTAAGAAAAGACAGCATTCCATGAACTCGGTTGACTTGGTGAGCTCAGTGCCTTTGATTTCAGGTACTCGTTTGGCATCACCAACATATATCTTCTTTTTCCGCGCTTCTTGTTAATTGATGGCTTTTGAAAACCCAAATCATCAGGGAAAGAGAAAAGCTGTACGTGTACATTATTCCATCTCTCTTGCATTGAGGTTTCCATTGCTGAACAAATAAGTATGAAAGAAACCTGTCGAATGCATGACACGGATGAAACCAGATAAGAGGGGTCGGACTGTGGGTTCACATTTCAAGCGTTCAATATCCAAAAGAAATGGTTGGGACTGTGGGTTTCACATTTCAGTTTTTGTTACTCTTTTCCTAGTTTTCTCCTTGCCAGGTGTTGTAGATGGTTGTGGGGATAAATTTTGTGTGATATTTCCAGTGTATATACATACGAATAAAAACAGAATTGTCTTTCTGAATGATTATTGTTCTTGTAAATGTACATATGTAATTATTTGAAAGTGGTGACATTGATATACTAATATTTCTTTCTTGACCGTATTCCCAGAAAGAGTTTCTTGGAGAGCATTGGAATGATGGGCAGCCAAAAGCATTGGACTAAAGGGATGAACATATTTGGTGGCATTACCTTTGTTTTAAAGCCAATCCCTTGGATAATTGCTTAAAGCAGATTAAGAGTTGACCCAAAACACAAAGTGGGTTATAGCTTACTAATAATGTTGGATAAGAAGGCAGAAATCTTGTCCTCTTCCAGAGGCAAAGTACCTGAGTAGAGTAATTAGCACGTCTTAATTGCGTTTAGGCCGGTAAACGTTTGGGCATATGCTTTTGACATTCAAAACTTCAAATGCAAACATTAGGATGCTTTAAATTGCGTAGTGGCAATAAGGTTTTGGGTTAAGAGTGTAGACAGGCACGTAGGTTCGACTTGTAGGTTGATCCAAAACTTAAACTCAAATGCAAGCATAGCATTAAACAAACAACAAATAAAAAGCATTAAGCTTTGCTGTTCCATTAAGTTAGGTGTAAGCAAAGCTGCTTCCACCCTCAAGCATTAACCCTCCTAGTTTGTTTTCCCACTTCATAAATATTACAGCTTAAACTGAAAATCGCCAAACAAAAAAAAAGAAGAAGAAGAAGAAGAAGAAGAAATTCATGGCACAAATCTTAGATCACGTTAGCATTAAATTTTCCTTGTAAATTGTACTGCTTCCATTCCCGTATGTTAATCCATTTAGATGCAATTGTAAGCTAAAAGAGAAGTTTGAAGAGGGGGAATGATGTCAAACATAAAAGAGTAAAACATGGCCAGGTGTCTAAACCATCGCCGCGTGTCACCGCTCTTTCTCATTTCATGCATGTTGTTCCTTGCAAATCCCTCCATAATCTTTTTCAAAGTCAAAAAAAAAAAGGTAATCATTCTCTCTCTGTCTGGAACTCTCACTTCAAAGTGTTTCCCAACCAACCACCTTATTACTACTAGCTACTAGACTACAATATCTACAAAAAAATTATACTACAATACTCATTTATATAATATACATAATTTTATAGTTCAAATTTTTTTTCTCGTAATAAAAATTATTAATCCATGGTGATACTTACTAAGATGATTAGAGAAAGATCAGCGTAATACTGCAGGGCTAAATCATTTTAACATGAAAAAAATTCAAATATACAAAAGACAATTCAAGAACAATAAAAGTTTAAATTTTAAAAAACATAAATTTAAAAAATTCAGAATCAATTTAAAATTTTTAATAAATTTCAATTAGAATTCGTATCCACACTCAATGCTTTCAATTGCCTCTCAATTTCTTGAAATAACTTTTAATAATAACATAGATATTTAAAAAGAAAAGAGATGGACTCAAAAATTGCAACACAAGCACAACATGTTAATCAACCAAAAAGCAAGAAACCATGGGCATCCGCAGGAATTATTGATGGCCTCCTTTTACACTTGCTCCTGCGCCCTCAGAAAACCTTTGAAATCCCATGTGCTTCTGTGCTTGTAAACTGTTTACAATCTCAAAGAAAGAATTAGCAGGTATACGTGTTGTGACTACAAGCATATTATGTCTACTTTTGTTAGGTATCAATATGACCACATGCATATTAATACTTCATCAATAAAATTTATTAATATTAATAATGGAAACTTTATGATAGACAATTGATGTTTTCTACTATAACATAACACCAAGACAGAAATTATGAATTTCTTCTTTCTTATCTAAGGAAGAGATATTTTGGGTCATTTGTATAAGATCTAAATTTTGCCTAAAATTTTGTTTTGATTGGTAAATGAAGTGAATCGTTACATACTAGAAATGTTCACCTAGAAGATACCAAAAATCTAAGATCCAAGTCTATCCAATTTGTTTTTCAGCTTTCTTGATTAAAAATCTATCTACCCGATATTGCTTTCAAAAGCAGGGACCCGTTTCTATAATATGCTAAATTTTGTTCTCATTTCCTTGTAACTATTGATTCTTAGGTAGAGCCGAAAGGTTAGACCCCCTCGGATTTTCCTGCCCGCCCTTGTATCTTTGGATCTTTGAATATCCTCCAATTAATCAACATAGCACCTCTTATCTCGTACCTCTTGATTGGGACCCGCTACCAACCCGCTTGATCTCCTTATCACCCTAACCATCCGCCACGTGTACCTTCACTCGCGCACCCCCACCGACTCACCGCACGCTACTGAATTTAGAGTATAAGAACCACCCTACTAATGGGCATGGCTAGAGGACCTCCACGAAAATGACAAGTCAACATCTGAACTGAAACGCTGTCGTTCTACTTCATCCCCCTTGCTTTGATGAATAAAATGCTGTAAAAATTTTGTGCAGCGAAAAAAGGACGGATATGAAAGTCTGGTAACTGGAAACTAAAACCAAAAAGCCTGACACAAGTAAACGAATAAAACAACACTGTGTTTCTCTACATGAGTCTCGTGCTCTTGGATTCCTTTCATTCCTTGAAATTAAACGGTTTCTTGTACCTTTAATTCTCTCTAATTATACTAGATCTTTGCAATTCCCACTTACCCATCTCTTTTCGATCCTGCAGGTTTCTGGGTTTGTGCTCTTTCTCGTTGATAATCTCTTATCCTTTTTGTTACTTGATTGATTATAGCTTATTTGTGCTGCCTTCTTTTCTCATTTTTGCTTATTTGGTATCTTTTAGTTTGTTGAATTATGTTAGATTATTCAACTTTGTCGCATGCACCGTTAAATCTTCTTATCCACGTGGACTTTTGTTGTTCTGGTTCTTTAATTTATGGGTTGTTCTTTCTTTTCTTCTTCCTTTCTGTTTTATTTTCATTTATCCACCATTTTATGGTAGTTACCGGCGGTTGTTTTCGATGGTTGTTGAATTTTGTTGTATGTTTCTTTAGTAGTGACAATAATAGAATTATTAGATTTTTCCCTTTGTTTTTTTATTGTAACTTTCATTTTATAACTTCCTAAAGGCAATCTGCTTACAATTTTTGTAAATCGAGTTTATTGCTGTGGGATTGTTTCAGTAAGTATGATGTGCAGTTAAGAGTTTGGAATTTACATTGTATATTTTTGCCCTCTTTTTATCTGCTTTGTACTGTTTACATGTTATGTTGATCTCATGAAGCTGGTATCTGAATAACTGGGGGATGTAACTGAACTTTACTTGAGATGAATGAGAGTGGGTTAAAGTCAACTTTGAAGTTTAATTAAGTCTTAATCAGGATTTGTCTAGAATAAACCCTTCATGACGGGTTTATCTGATTGTCTCGGCCTGATTTTGCAACTATATGGTTTCTGTGTTTTAAATTGATGTAGTGAGTTAATTATAGATCTGCCACTTCCCATTTTAGTTCTCTATTTCAGGCATGAGAAGTCATCAGATATGCTTATTTGTTCAGATTGTGAAGTATGTATGATGGTTGAACTTTTGTGTAGCTTTTATGGGGACAAGGACAAGGATTATCTGTTATTTCTTTAGTAACCATTGGTAGAACTTTTTAAGATTTCCAATATCGTTAGTGTTTGTTTTGACTGGTATCTGTATGTATTTGGATTGGTGTTTTATTTATGTATTTGTCAACTTATAAAGTGATTTTTATCAATCAAATTTAGTTGGCTGGTTATTTGGTGTCTGATTTAGTGAAGCACAAGGTTATAAGTTTTTCTTACTTATCTAGCATTCTCATTTGTAACAAGTGGTTATTTCCAACAGCTAAATGTGTCGAAGACGAGAGTAATGGCAGCAGCTGAAGCAAGGGCTGTCTGGCAAAGAACAGCTAATCGTTGCTTTGTCCAAGAAGATGCCAAAAGAGCTCCCAAGTTAGCTTGCTGCCAATCATCATCTTCATCTAAACAGGCTGATTCAAGCCCCACCGGTGCAGCAGATGCGTGTGATCACCCTGCAGTAGGTTTCATGCCTCTCAACAGGAGCCCTTCCTATTCCAATTTACCTCCTGATATGAGGTGGTGGCTTCAGCTGCAGCCTAGCTATGGACCTCAAAAGGGTTTAACAAGTGAGCAGTTACATGCCTTAGAGGATGACGTGGAAAGTTTGAAAGCTGAAATTAAATCTCCCTCCAAAGTAAGTGGAGTTCATCTGCAGGATGCACAAGCTGCTACAGGTGTTGACAGGAATAGTGACAAAGGATATTCTCTTGATTCAACAGAGATAGTAAAAAACTATGAATTTTTGGAGATGGAATCTGTTGAATGCCCAGTTTTCAAAAAAACGAATGACTTATGCTATGATCCAGAGTCCCCCTGGGTTGAAGGTGGGAAGGGTGAGCCATGGTGGCGCACAACAGATAAAGACGAACTGGCCTCCTTGGTTGCGCAAAAGTCATTGGACTTTATTGAGAATTGTGATCTTCCCCCACCTCAGAAGATGCATGTGAGGAGGTACTCACATGCATGTTCTGGTTCTTCTGACGGTGATGAAGTATCTTCTTTGGCATGGAAGTCCCAAACAGGCCCTATTCCCAGACCAATTGTGAATTCACAGGCCTTTACTGATTCTGTAAGAACACATGGAAGATTGATGTCTTCAGTTGGCGAAGGGAAGATCCAATGTGCTTCTGACACATCATTCAGGTATTTATTTTTTAATGCTTTAAGTAGTTGTTTTATTGATCCATTTTCTTAATTCTCGGAATGGATTAGTTAAAAAAAGGTTCAGATAGGAACAGTTTGCTTAAATGGATTCTTGGATGAACATTGCCTTGCATCTCGAGCTGACCAATTAAAAGGACCAATTAAAAGGATAAAACTATTAACTTGGCTTTGTTTGTTCTTCTTTATTTGACTTGCATTCATATAGTACAACTAAAGAGGATACTGTGGAGCAAGTTACCGAGTCTGATCCTACTAAGGCTCAGCTACTTGAAGCACTTTGTCACTCACAAACACGTGCAAGAGAAGCTGAGAAGGCAGCAAAGCAAGCCTATGCAGAGAAGGAACATGTCATCAAGCTGTTCTTTAAGCAAGCATCACAACTCTTTGCCTACAAACAGTGGTTCCAAATCCTGCAGCTGGAAGCCCTTTATGTCCAGATCAAGAATAATGAGCAGCCAGTCTCCACTCTCTTCCCTACAGTCCTTCCATGGACACCCTACAACAGTAGGAAATTGCGGAAGAGCTGGCAAAAGACTGGAAAAGCTAGACGAGTGAAGAATGGCCAACCTAGACCAGACATAACCAAGTATGCTGTTGCTTTTGCTTTGGGACTGAGTCTTGTTGGTGCTGGTTTGCTGTTGGGATGGACTGTGGGGTGGATGTTGCCTTTCTAGACAATTAACAAAGTTTCAACCTAATCCCCTTGCTGCGGGAAAGATTGTTTTGTGACAAAAGAATGATCAAATTATATTTATTTTCCGTATGTAAGGTTTTTTGGTCACTTAATTTTACATGTATTAGCCCCTGTATATTGTATGAGTAGTTTTTCACTTTTCCTTAGTTGTATTATTTGTAGGTCTCTGTCTGAAAAGTAGTGTACTTGGGTGTGTAGATGATTTGGTGGGCTGTTGTGCATATATTGGGTGAAAATGTCCTTAGACAAAGTATCTCATGAAATTTCTCTTCGGTAAATTTATCAATGTGATGGGAAATTTGTTCAGTGTCAATTAATTGAACAGTTGCGGATTCTAAATCCAATCTTATCCAAGTAACTGGTTTAATGGTTTTTATTTCATGTATGTTAATTTGCAAACAGGTGCGTAATTCTGAAGGTAAGTTAGACATCAGATGTGAGAAATGATGTCCTAAATCATAGTGATTCAAAAGGTTTAGACAATGATATAATAAGATCTTTAATGTTTATTATTTTTTTTTCTTTTTTCAAATTTCAAACCATTTGGCACAATCTTAAGATTTTAGACGAATGTGCTAATGTCATTTCACCATTACTCTCTCTTAAGGGTTAATTTGATAGGGTGTATGGTGTGCCTGTATACAAATTTTTCAAAATCGTTTTACTTGTTTCATACGAAATTGAAATATGTTATTTATTTGTTTTAAAACGTTTGACGTGATATTTTTCTCCATTTAATTAGATAATGATTTTTGAAACGTTTGACATGATATTTTCTTCCGTTTAATTTGAAGACACTCTCACCGACATCAACAAGTTTACTTGTCTTCATTTTGGAGATGCTTGACGTGAGTTAGGTCCACTTTGATATTACTTTACTATAAGATTATTATCCTCGCTTTAAAGGTTAACATAATAGAATGTATAGCATTCATGCTTTAAAACTTTGAAAGATCCTTAATTGTTTGATATGAATTGAAACAATTTATTTACTTTTTTTGAAATGCCCGAGATGACTCTAACACATATTTAGACTTAATAGAACAAATTTATTGATATTTACCCTATTAACCCTATATAAGATTAGATAAAACAAGTTATTAGAATATTGGCTAAATGCTCATATTTAGAACATTTGTGTATTTTTTCAATTAAGGACCAAACGTTTCAATTGTAATAATTAAGGGTCAAAAGTTTTCGATTCTTTATAATTAAGGGCTAAATTAACAGGTGGATGGAACGTATATCACACACGATAAAAAATCGCGTGAGCTGATGGCATGGCAGCTCAAAAATATATTCAAAATATTTATTACACAGCATGTTGAGAAATGTTATTATTACTTTTTATGCAAAAAATGTTGTTAACATCATGTTGAAAAATGTAATGTTACACATTATATTTTAAAATTTAATTGTTACACTACAAATTGAAATGATTGTTATAAATCATGTTGAAAATGTATTTATTATACTCTGTTGAAAATTTAGTTGTTACATGTCATGTTGAAAAATATAGTTGTTATACATTTTATTAAATATTTAGTTATTATACGTTATGTTGAAATTTAATTATTACACGACAAAAAATCACATGAGCTGATGACATAGCAGCTAAAAATATTTTCTTAATATTTGTTACACAATATGTTGGGAAATCTTATTGTTATTTTTTTGTGCAAAAAATATTGCTAACGTCATGTTGAAAAATGCAATGTTACATGTCATACTCTAAAATTTAGTTATTATACGTCAAGTTGAAAATAATTATTACATATCATGTTAAAAATATAATTATTACACGTCATATTAAAAATTTAGTTATTACATATCATGTTAAAAATGTAGTTATTATACGTCATATTAAAAATTTAGTTATTAGACGTCATGTTGAAAAATATAATTATTACACATCATGTTGAAGATTTGGTTGTTACATGTTATATTGAAAATTCCGTTGTTGCATCTCATATTGAAAATTTTAGTTATTACATATCATGAAAATTTATCACATATTATGTTAAATATTTAGTTATTATACGTTATGTTAAATGTTTAATTGTTACACGTCATGTTAAATAATTTAATTGTTACATGCTATGTCATAATTTAAACCGTTTTAACTTAATAATAAATATTTTCTGATTAAATTATATTTTCGTATCTTACATAACGAGACGCTTTAGAAAAGATTTTTTGATAAAAATTCAAATCAGTATCCACGTTATACGCGTCTTACATGCGATAAACACCTTTCACCTTAATCCTTAATTATAAAAAATCAAAAAACGTTTGATATTTAATTTTTACAATTGAAACATTTTACCATAAATTAACAAAATTAAACATTTAGTCTAGAATATTCATTCATGTTTTGGTTTTTTTTGCCAAAATTCTACAGCTTTCATTCATTCTGTTTTACCCTTTTACCCTCGTTAGATAATGGCAACATCTAGTCCCACAAGCTTAGGGGTTGATCATAATTTCAAACGATAAAAGGGGTTCTTTGTGGACAATGAAAAGAAAAATAAAACACCAGGACGTTCACATCCTTTCGGGTACCCGACTCGAACCCAAATTTCCTGTTGATTTGATTTCCTAGAACTAAAAGAGCTGGATCCGATCCATTTGATACTCTGGGCATCCGTCAAAGAAAACAGGGCTGCTTTTCGAATAGAAGAATAGGAGAAGTGAAGGCAGTAAGAGCAGGGAAAATCGATTAGAGAGATGGCGGTGATGGAGAAGCTGAAGATATTCGTGGTGCAAGAGCCAGTTGTCGCAGCTTCTTGCCTCATCGCTGGTGTTGGTAAGCTTTCGTCCTCATTTTTGATTAATCCCTCTCTTTCTTTAATCTGATGAATCATCCGCTGCATTATCAAGTTGTTTTTATGGGTTTCTTCATTACTAATCCTCTAGCTTTATGCTTTTTGGTTATTTAATGATGTGATATTAGGGAAAGCATCATTAGGAGATTTTTTGTTTGGCAATGGTTTTCATGACCGATTTGCGGATGTAGGGTTTTATAAGCCAATTCAGAATCGTCTCTTCTTTTAATGAAAAGATGTTTTCTTTGTCTTGAATTAATTTAAATTTCTTATGAGGGATTCTTCCCAATTTTGATTGTGTGATGGTAGTTACTGTCTGGTTAGATTCCGCGGTGTAGCTGTAGAGGAATCAAATTGAAATGCTTTGGATAATATATTTCTTTGATAAAATTTATGTCCTTTGAGTATGTCATGGGTAGCATTGCCAAGATTCCTGAAATTCAATTCATAAGTTATGTATGATTAGTACATATATGTCATGAAACTAAGGATTCTAAATCTGACATGATGCATAAACTGGGAGCGTTCTATTTGGGAAGCCACTGTGATTGAAGTAATAATGTGTGTCATAATCAAACAAATGGGGGTAAGTTAAGTTGGGAATTGGGAGCACACAAAAATGTAACAATTAGTAAATGAATTCATATGAGAGTGAGTTTTCAGAGTTGCTTGTATGAGTCTATCTTGAAGTGAAAATGACATGGAGTTTCATCATTCTTTTTCTTTATACTGTCACGGTTGAATTTGGGTTTCCTCTTGTTTCTTCAATTTTGCATTATAATGGTCCTCTTATCTCCTTTCTGAGACTTTTCTTTTTCTCTTTTTGTAAAGCAGATATTTTATCTTATTTGCTGTCAGCTTACTCAGTTTGTAAAAAATGCAGGTCTCTTCCTACCAGCTGTTGTAAGGCCCATTCTAGATTCCTTAGAATCATCAAAGCAAGTTCGTCAGCCTGCCTTAAGTGATGTAAGTATAGCATTAGCAACATGCTCCTTGTTGTAGTCTTTAGGACATTTGTTGTTTGTTAGTGTTTGAGAATTTATCTACTAACTGTAAATTGGGTTAGACATGTCACTTAAGAGAAGTTTTGAGACTGTTTTCTCTGTGACAGAGAAGAATATCATTTAATCAAGATCCTAGTAACTGGGTAATTTTTTCTTTTGATATTTGAATTTCAACTTTATGCCTGCAGTGTTAAGACTAACACCTATTGGAAAGCGGTGGATGTTTACAGCATTCAATGACAAGGGTTCTCTTTTAGTTCAGATGCTGCAATTGATACCCTTCCATAACTGAGAACACCACATTCTGGCTGCACTAGTTGATCTTGGTTAATTTTACCTTGTTCTAGCTCGATGAGAAATTTGATTTTAATGATCCTTTGTAACTGTATTGTAGGTGGAAAGTATGTACCTTTTTCTCATCTAGGTATAAGGTTTGATTAGTATCAAAGAAGGGGAAAAAGATGGTCAATATTGCCAAGATCACTGCATAAGTTCTTGCAGACTGTCTTTGTGCTTTTGTGTATATGATCAGCCTTAGTATTAGCTTTTATTATCTGACTATTCTTTTCATTAATGTATCTCTTTGGAAAAGGATACTCTGGTCTTGATTGGCGTTGTTGTTGCCATGCCTATGAAATAGACCAGGAACATAAGATCACTATGATGTACTCCAAAATTCTTTAGAGTTTGGATATCAAAGCTTTGGAACATGCTAAGTGGAGCAGTGAACACTCCCAGAGGAAATTTCCAGCCTTGTTTATGCTTCTTGTGTTCTACTTTTCTGTTATCATTTTTAACATATTGATGTGCTCCATTTTTGCAGGTGGTCGCAGGTGTGACTGGTAAAAAGTAGGGTTGATGTCATTAATGGATTGAAAAGTGGGAAAACTTCAAATGTAGCTGATAATCAGTGGCGAAATAAACCTTACTTTTAAATTGGGAACTCTTAAAGAGTGACTTGTGCCTTCAACATCATGTTTAGTATGAGAATTTGAGTGTTATTTTGTTTTGATTTTCGGTAGTCGAGGATTACTCAAAGCATGGATAATTCATTTCAGAGTGGAATATGGCATCTTCTGCTTAATTTGCTTCCCTACAATTGAAGTTCATTCTGTGGTTGATTTGCATCCTGTATGCCTTTTTTTTTGTAAACTTATAGGCAGTAACAATGTGCAGATGATGTTGAAAACATGGTTAGTCTGAACCATGGAAAGCATTTTTCAAATATCGTTATTGCAATACAATATGGGATATGCGAAGGAGTACAATACGGGCAATTGGCGACCTCATTCTTTTGTCAGTTCCTTCGTGATGCCGGGTTATAGGCTACAATCTGCAAATGGGTAGTATGAAATATATTGTTAGTATTGCAAAGGCAATCACATCATTTTAGGAATTGTTTTTTCATTAGATTAATTTTCAAGAAGTCTTAATCTTACAGACCAATAAATAGTGTTAACGAAGTTCAGTTAGGCTTCTTTAAGGAGGTCTAGGTCATGAAGAGCAGCTA